TCTGACTAATAGCAGATGAAGGCATCGACTAGAGTGCAAACTGTAGGATTGGCAAGGAAGCAGCAGACCAGGAGATGTTGAAGAAAACTGCCAAGCCATTAGGATCAGTAGAAGAAGATGAGTTTTATAACTGATAACAAACACAGATTAAAAATAAATAACACCTAAAACTAGTATTCCTTAGACTTCTGATATCATACCCATTCAGACTTTTTTTTTACGTTTGAACATATATTCCCAATATGTGTATAGTTGTTATTTTATGTACATGTACTAATACTATAGTATTTGGAAATATTCCCTGTGGCTCAGATGGTAAAGAATCTACCTGGAATGTGGAAGACCCAGGTTCGATCCCTGGTCCCGAAGATCCCCTGGAGAAGGCAATGGCAACCCACTCCTGTATTCTTGTCTGGGGAATCCTGTGGAGCGAGGAGCCTGGTGGGCTACAGTCCACGGGGTCACAACGAATGGGACACGACTGAGTGATGGACACTTTCACTTTCACTAATACTATATGGACTCCCAGGTGGCTTGGTGGTAAAAAAAATCTGCCTGCCAATACAGGAAACATGGGTTCATCCCTGGGTCAGGATGACCCCTTGGAGGAGGAAATGGCAACCCACCTCAAAGTTCTTGCCTAGGAAATCCCATGGACAGAGAAGCCTTATGGGCTATGGTTCATGAGGTCGCAAAAGAGTTGGATATGATTTTAGCAACTAAACAACAAAAATACGTAGTAAAATACTATTTTAACAGCATAAAACTTTAATGACACCAATATGACTGAATGTGCTTTATTTTTTTTAATTTTAAGGTATTTATTGAAAAATTTTTAATAAAAAATTTGCAATTTGCAAATTTTTTTCAATTTGACTAAATTTGTTTCTGAAATCACTGTTTTCTTGAACAGTAACCATTTTTTAACAAATTAACTGAAAACTCATTAAAATGCTCCAAATGAAGGATGTTTTAAACAGAAAATTCTAATTATGGCATAGATACAAGCATTATAGTTGGTATTGATTTGGGGCAACAACAGTCATGTAATGATGTAAATACATCCAAACATCTATTTTAAATGATCATCTCCTAAGAACTTTCTTTTACAGAGTCGTAACTTTCTCACTGTATACTATTCTTTATATATTAGAAAACTCAGAATGCTAAGTTTTTCAAAAACATCAGATAAATACTTCTCAGAAACCTATCACAGAAAAGAACAGCAAATTTGTGAGAACTGTTTTTGTAAAAGAAAACTGCATAACATCTTTGAATTTTACCCCCTTTGAAGTACTTTACCATAGTTAATGAAAATACAATGATAAAAGATATGATCATTCTCATTTCAAAGTGTTATAAAGATTTTGCTGTATTTTAAAGTCTTTGTTTTTATAAATTCTTTGTTTTTATAAATCAACCACATTGAATACTTTTTATATTTTTGCTTTCATCTGCTGCAATATCTTGCTTATGAATGAATTTGATGTGGTATTTTATACTTTTATTCTGGAATCTGATTTCATTCAAAATAAGACATATTTCATAGTGCTTCTACTTGCGCAGATTTCTATGAAATCCTGATTTGATTTAAAAAGTTATTTATTATTTAATAATATGTCTTCTCTGGTATACCTTTCCTTTTCTGACTGAAGAAACTTTTAACTACCTAAAGTAGTAAGATGGCAACACCTAGTCAGTAATGCAGGGCCTTTCTCCTATGTAATGAGTACCAACCAGAAGAGTGGAGTTGTACAGATTTTCAATACTGCTGGAGAATTATGGATTGAGGTAGCTAGTGGAGGCTTCTCAGTGGGAAGACAGGAGAAAGTTGTAGGAGAGAGTGGTAGGAGAAAAGGCATAGGCAAGAAAGTACGAGATAAGTTTGGGAGACATTAAAAACCAGGCTGGAGAAGAGGAGTCGTGGTGTTTGTTAATAGGTGAATCAGTTAGGTCGGTAAATTCAGAGGTCCTTAAATATGAAGTTTGGGTATTAAGAACTTTTATGCTACGATAAACGAAAGGATTCAGATTAAGTTTGTGTAATGGCCAGAACACTGACCTGCAGCTACAGAGACATGTTGTGGTGGCCAACTCTAAAGTGGCAGCAAGTTTGGGAAAGAAAAGTCTTCTGGAACTAAACAGATTATAAAAGAAGAGTGAGGAAGTTATGTTCTCTCTCTACTTTGGCATAGACACAAGGCTGAATGTAAGTTTCCAAGGGAAATATATTTAGCACAATGCAGTGGGTAAAGAAAGGACTAAGTTAATATATAGGTCCAAGTTTTTAATTAAATAAACCTCCTAAAAAATGCAATGTAAATATACTCTAGAAAAGATAAGTTGTAAATATAGAGTGATTTAAGTATTTCCTTTTTCACTTGAGAGCTTTTAAATTGAAAACCATTCAAAAAAGCCACCATACTATTTAAGGAAAAATGTGCCAAAAGACACTTAAAAACTTTTCTTTCATTCTGTTTCTTATTAAATAGACCAAAGTGAAATCTTTATTTCATCTCTATTTCCTACCCAGACTTACATCCCCATAGAAGCGGTCTCCAAAATATGTTGTATTTGACTGAAGGAGTGCACGCACCAAAAAACAAAACTTTCACTTAAATGTAATTTTATTTTAGAAAATGAACTTAAGCAATTTACTAATTTTAATAGAAGGATTGGTAGGAAGGAGTACAACTATATACTTTATAGTATAAACATTTACGACAGTGCACTTTAAATGTAGGAGATACAATCAAAACATATGCCAACTGAGGGGTATCTATTGTTAAACATACAGATTATTAGGGTTTTCTCTTAGAAACTTTGAATTATAATAATTAAATAGTAGGTTTAATAATTAGTAGGTTTGAATTGGGGTCTGGGAATCACCTTTTAACAGGACCTCCAAGTGTTTCTTATTTTCTGCCAAGTTTAAGATATAAGCAGTAGATGTGTTTCATCATCTTTTGATTTTAGACCCAAGTCCTGTTTTAGGTGCCACAGTGCTAAGTGCTATATTACTGGTGCCTCACCAAGAGTTCTGCAGCAGAGTGAAAGCCTCACCAGTGATTCATAGGCTGGCATCCAGCTCACTTTATTTCTTGTGCTTTGGACCAAAAGCCAGCTTACAGTAGCTTAATTTGTATGGGCAACGATATGTATGTCTAGAATAATTTAGGAATTTGTTTACCTTGAGGTTTGAAACTGATTATAATTTTTATCCGTGAAGTCATTGCCCAGATCATTACTGTGTTCCATGTGTTAAAAAAATCATGGCTGATCAATAACCTTATACCTTATTTTTATGAGTGCTATAACATGCTGACACATGGAAATATAGAAATTAATTTTACGCTAAGCAGTTGGGTGTCCTAAAATTAAATATTTATTCAGAATCTTTAAAAATACTAGAAAAAAAGTAGCTTGCATTTATTAGTATTTGTTATGTGCCAGGCATTGTCCCAAGCACTTTTCAGTACTATGTGTTGTTTAATCCTCACAACAATCCTATGAAGTAGGTGTTTTTAGTATCCATTTTGTAGAGGAGTTAACTGAAAAAGCAGAAATGTTAAGTAACTTGCCCACTGCTTATATAGGGTTTTTGTTTCCTTGCCTTCTTATTTTAATTTGGTAATTCCAGAAATAACTTATAGAAGTTATTTTCATGTTTTGACTTAATGATACTTATTTGAATGGTTCTTTATCTTGAAACTTGATTTCTTCTATACTGCCTTGTTCTCTTAAAAGACAAAACCTTTTTCATGTATTTTAACAATGAATGAAAAGTGGCATAAAGATATCACTTCGGACTACTGAAATAATGAAAGAACATGACAATTTAATAAAAGCGAAATGTTAATTGCCACTTTGAATATGTAGTCTAATGATTAAGTAAAATTTGTAAATATATATGGTTTTATCCTGAAGTTTCACTTTATAACTAAGTTTTTCATGTCTGAGGGATTTTTTGAGCACAGAAAAAAATTTTGACAGTTGTTTGTGTTTTAAGTAATGTGCATTCTATTCTAGTTTTTAGCATTGCCAATGTCAGTATCTAGTTTTTTCTTAAGGCCTTAAGTTCAATTTATGCATTAAAAAATAAATCTATCTATACCTTCACTAAGGTCTTCAGTTAATCTTTTTAAATTATCAAATTCCATGAAACATTTTAAAAAACATCTAACAAAGTACATAATGAATCTAAGATGCATAATCAAATGATTAAATCATGTAAATCTAAGTAAACCAAGTTATCTTAACATTGTTTACAAAGTTATGTTATATAACTCATATTTTAATCACCAGTCTATAAAACATTTCAAATATCTTTTGTAACCCCCACAAATGCATAGACAAATGATCAGTTAATGCCCAAATTATCAATAGTATCTTTATCTTAAATCTAATGCAAAGTCTTCATATTATAGGCTAGATTCATTCCTTCAGCCTTTCATTTCTCATCTCAAGACTATAAATCTACTTATACAACAATGTGGAATGGAATCTCCATCTTCCAGCCTCTGCCACATCTAAGATTCTACATCTGGGATCAGGGACAAGGACCTGAACCTACCTGCCAGCCAGAGTCTGCATTGGACAGGGACCTCTTTATTCCCTTCTTACTGTCAGGCCTGCCATTGTTAATGGAAACTTAATGAGCCCTCACATAACTGAACATACACATTTAATATTTTTGCAACCCGGTTCTTTTCCTAGGAATGATGCATCCCTTATGTTTTTTCCTTAGGTTACACTTTATCCCTGCTATAATGGGATTTTCTAAGTCCAATTATGTACAAACTGTGTAACCTTTGGCATTAAAGCCTATTTGTGTACTAATGGGGTTTTGACACCCTAATTAGGTTACTAAAGCAACCCTTTCTCTTTCATAGTTTTAACAGCTGCCTCATTGACCATCAGTCATTTTATTGACAAATGATGATCAAGTTTAGTTTTAACCCCTTTAAATTCACAAAGCCAAAATGATTTTTCTCTCCTAGGAATGCCAGAATCACCTCCGCAGATATGGAAATGTGAATCTGGAACTGGTGACTCGAATCATTAGAGATGGTGGCCCATGGGAAGATCCTGTGTTGCAAGCTGTTCTAAAAGCCCAGCCAGCATCTCAGGAGATAGGTACTACAGGAGACTCAAATCTAAACCTACATTTGTGAGAAACAAACACAGTTTCATTTTCTAACTAGAGCAGTATTAGTGTTTTTTATTTCACAATACTGAATAAGAGTAATGTATTTTCACATGAAGTGTGTTTAATTTGCTATATTAACCCAGTCCAAGAGTGATTTGACATAAGATTAGGTAAAACTATCTCTAGTAATTTCCTATTAAAGTGGGAATTCAGACTGTTAACATATTTAGTATCCAGATGCTACTTGTTTACAAAGAGTTTGTATTTGTCACTTCAGTTATGTTTTTAAAATCTTTTTAAGTAGGAACACCCTTAAAAAAAAAAACAACACCCTGCTTGAGCACATGGAATCTCCCTTATACAGGAAACTCTTTGAAGGGTGGAACTCCTTTAGCTTTTGTTTTGATAAACACTAACATATCCTACACCTAGCCCAGTGCCTGGTACAGAGTAGTAAGTGCTCAGTATCAGTACTTGTTTATTGAATGAATGACCACATGAATGCATAAGTGAATGTATGACTAATTAAATGAGTAAGTAAATTTCAGTTCCAAATACTCTAGAGCAGTATTTCCCAAACTTCCTTCATCAGTAGGAGTTTTGCCTCATCCCCTTACCACCTGCATATCTTTTTGACATCACTTTCTCTTTAATCTAGATTCCTATGAGCCAAAATCTCCTTTTGAAGGCCGGAAGCTCTGTCAACTATTTCTAATTAATTCTTCAAAAAAAAAAAATATATATATATATATACACTTGCCATATTATTTCTGAGCCCCAGAACATTTGGGTCCCCAGAACTTAGAATAAGCACAAAAGTCTGGACACTGGAGAGCATGGAGAGCATATGGAGTGCAGTTATAACATGGCCAAAGGTTGAAAAGACAGACCTCTCAGCTGGAACCATCCAGACATTGGTCTGGTGAGAAAACACTGCACACCACCAATTGCCTGAGTGTGTTAGGATCTTTCTGTTTGTCCCAGGTAAAGGGGTGGGAGTGGGTTGTGAGATGAACTGAGTGGGGAAGGGGCTATGATTCTGAGCAAACTGACCCCCAGATACAAGCGCAGGGGACAAGAAGAGATGGGAGAGAAGATGAAAAAAGAGACAAGACCAGGAAAGATAATGCAGAGTGGTGGAATGAGATGGGAAATAGGACAAAACTAGAAGGAAAGAGCTAAGGTACATGTGGCAGTGGTATCGTTGTATAAAGGACAGAAAGGAGAATTAGCACTTGATGTGAAGTTCTCAGAAAGGAACTGAAAAAATAACAAACAAACTGAAGACAGGCAGTAGTTACATCCGAGGAGGAAGAGTTGGATTATTGAGGGAACTATGAACCATCATATATAGGGAAGACAGGGGTAACAGCATTGAATGAATCTAAGGAAGCTGGGGAATGTGGCCAGAGGGGACAGGAGCTAGGCAAAGACAGATTCATTCGGAGTGAGAACACGAGAGAAGAGTTTGGATTTTTCAGATAACTTTTAGGTTTCTCTAGGTAGGAGCTAGAACAAACCTGTTGTTGGTTGGTGTGAGGCTGACAGCCTTTATATACACAGTTCATAGGCTTCCCTGGTGACTCAGATGGTAAAGAATCTGCCTGCAATGCTGCAGACCTGGTTCAGTCCCTGGGTTGGGAAGATCCCCTGGAGGAGGGCATGGCAACCCACTCCAGTGTTCTTGCCTGGAGAATCCCATGGGACAGGGGAGCCTGGTGGGCTATAATCCATGGGGTTGCAAAGAGTCAGACACGACTGAGCGACTAAACACAGCACAGCACAGCGCATACTGTGTATAGTCCTTCATACACACCTCTTATACTTACCCTAGCACTCTTCATTTTGGGAAAAGCTGCTCTAGAAGCTCATTAATGTGGATGATTCAGCTCTTGTGATCATTAGGGTAAAGATCAGTCTGAAGTTTATTTTTGCATTAACTATACAAATCAGTATCTGCTGCTCATATATTATAAACAGAGTTGCAAGGCAAATGCTGAAGCCCAAATAAAACATTATTCATAGGCATTTCAGAAGCTATTGATTAAATATATATAATTAACTAAAACATTTTTGGATTTGAAATCATGAAATATGGGTTCCATTTCCTGCTCTGCCACTTATTTAATTAATTCTTTGTCCTTGGGCAAGTCATTTGACCTCTCTGAGACTCAGTTTTGTGATCTGTAAGACAAGTATATCTGTCATGAGGTTGTTGTTAGGTCTGAATATAGGTGTTTATATTTGTGTGAAAACAAGTATTAAGTTTAGTAATTATCCTTGGGCATATATTAACGGACATATATTAATAAGCAGTCCTATTTGACATTACATTTAGATTACTTTTTTGTTAGAAAATAAAGTTATTTCTTTTATGACTGAACTTTTCATTAATTCAGATTATATTTCTCTATAATTAATCTGAAGTAATATGGTTTTAATGACAGATTAGGATTTAACCTTCTAATCTTACAGTAATGAAAATATGGTAAGAAGACAAAGTACATAATCTTAGACTAGAAAGAAATGCCAGATCCTGTGTCATTTGAAACATATTTTAACATTAGAGAACAACAAAAGAAAGAGTATTTCATGTTGTTATTTTTTTTTTTAAATTTTGCTTCTTTCTTTAGATTGAGAAAGAATCAGCAAATATTTCTTGGGCACAGTTTTGTTGTCTTTTTTATTGCCATTTTTTCGATCATTTAACTGATATATTCTTTTCACAAACTCCTAATAAGGAAAATGCTATTTAATTAAATAGTTGATTTAATTAGATACTACGTGTTAGTGCTGAAGTGTCAAAGAAAAATGTTTGAGACAGTCTTTTCTTGAGAGTAATAAGAGTCTGTTTTCTTTTTAATATAGTGAACAAATATTTAAGTTCTGAAAATCCACTATTCTTTGAACTACGTGCCAGATACCTAATTGCTTGTGAACGCATACCTGAAGCAATGGCTCTTATTAAATGTTGTATAAATCACCCAGAAATTAGTAAAGACTTGTACTTCCATCAAGCACTCTTCACCTGTCTGTTTATGTCACCTGTAGAAGATCACCTATTCCGGGAGGTATTATTTGAGATTATGTTTGCCTATTAAACTTATCAAAAAATATGTAGCCCATTTTTGGTAAATTCCTTTTACGGTACTATCAAAGGCCATAAGATTAGATTATCTAGATGTATTCCCTTTGACACCTTTCTTTAAGTTCATATTGAATTAGCTCATATTAACAAATGATGAAATTAAAATTTTTGTTGATAAGCATTATTCATGTTGAGCGAGTTTCTGGTGTGACAGGTTAAATAAAAACTGAGAAGCATCAGGATTTTGCATCTTAATTAAAATACTAAGAAATTAAATTCCAATGTTTGTTACTTTGGTCTTTTTTTAAGATGAAGGAATTAATCTTTTCCTAATATGGACCCTACATACCTACAAGCTATGGACATTGAGGTTAAAAGTAGTCATCATAAACTGTAGGTGCTATATAGTGAAACTATGGAAAAACATAAATATAGTTCTGTATAATTCATTGTCTTTGTAGAAGAAAATTAGAAATCTAAACTTCTGAATGCTTAAACATTTATTACAGCTATCTTTCTAGATATTTTTAATGATATGAACTGAGTTTTCTTTTCATCTTATAGCATTTACTGAAAACTGATTGTAAGAGTGGAATTGATATCATCTGTAACACTGAAAAAGAAGGCAAGACTATGTTAGCCTTGCAACTCTGTGAATCCTTTCTTATTTCACAGCTCCAGAATGGGGATATGTACTGTATCTGGTAAGTGTTCATAATGCAGACATTATGAGAAATGGTGAGATGGGATGCAGAAGGAGAATTCCTTAGCAGAATTTATACCTTATTTTTTAAAAGTTATGTGAAAATGTTAAGCCATTCCCCCCCCATACACATTTATTGTGCAAGAAACAATGGGTTTTAAGACCTAAGGGTTAAAAAAGAAAATGATCATGTGCCAGTAATAAACTGTTAATATTTAAGAAATGTGTTATAATAATTATGTTTTATACTACATTTAGAGTATTATTCGTAAATATTTTAAGAGATTATTTTTCAGAGAAGTTTTAGGTTTACAACAAAATTGAGAGGGAAGTACAGACATTTTCCACATACTCCTTGTCTCCACAAATGCATATCCTTCCCCATTATAAAACACCCACCACAATGGTACATTTTTTTTTTTAACCAAAGATGAACTTACATTGACATATATTAATCACCCAAAGTCCAGTTTATGTTTAGGGTTCACTTTTGCTGTTAATTATTTTATGGATTTGGACAAACATATAATGAATATGTAACATAAATATATCATTATGATATCATACAGAGTATTTTTGCTGCCCTAAAAGTCCTCTTTGCTTGACCTATTCATCTCTTCCCTCCCACCCCTGCCCGTTATCTTCATGGTTTTGCCTTTTCCAGAGTATCATATAGTTGGAATCATACAGTATACAGCATTTTCAGATTGGCTTCTTTCAGTTAGTAATAGGCATTTTAGTTTCCTCCATGTCTTTTCATAGCTTGATAGCTCATTTATTTTTAGTGCTGAATAATATTCCATTGTCTGGAATATTATTTATTATATATATTATATATATTATAATATATACCACAGTTTATTTATCTGTTATCTACTAAAGAACATCTTGGTTGCCTCCAAGATTTGGCAATCATGAATAAGCTGCTATAAACTTCCGTGTGCAGGTTTTTGTGTGGACATAAGTTTTCAACTCCTTTAGGTAAATACCAGGGAGCATGATTGCTGGAACTTATGGTAAGACTATATTTAGTTTTGTAAGGAACTGCCCAACTGGCTTCTAAAGTGTCTGTACTGTTTTTCATTTCCACCAATAATGGATGAGAGTTCCTGTTCTACATCCTCACCAGCATTTGTTATTTTCAGTGTCCCAGATTTTAGCTATTATAATAGGTGTGTAGTGGTATCTCATTGTTGTTTTAATTTAGTTGTAGTTTGCATTTCCCTGATGACATATGATGTGGAGCACGCTTTCACATGTTTATTTGCCATCTGTATACCTTCTTTGGTGAGGTATCTGTTAAGGTCTTTAGTCTATTTTTTAATTGGGTTATTTGAGTTCTTATTATCCAGTTTTAAGAGTTCTTTGTATATTGTTGATACCAGTCATCCATTGGATGAGTCTTTTACAGATATTTTCTTCCAGTCTGTGACTTGATACTGTCTTTCACAGAGAAGTTTTCAATCTTAATGAAGTCCAGCGTGTCAGTTTTTCCTTTCATGGATCATGTCTTTGGTGTTATATCTAAAAAGGCATCACCATACACAAGGTCTTCTGTGTTTTCTGTTTAGACCATGATCCATTTTTAGTTAATTTTTGTGAAGGGTGTTAAGGTCTGTGCCTGGAGAATCCCATGGACAGAGGAGCCTAGCAGGCTACAGTCCATAGGGTTGCATAGAGTCAGATATGACAGAGGCCACTTAACACACAAGATCTGTTAGAGTCATCTTTTTTTAAATGTGAATGTCTAGTTGTTTGAGCACCATTTCTTGAAAAGATATTTGCTCCATTGCATTGCCTTTGCTCCTTTGTCAAAGAACAATTGACTGTATTTATGTTCATCTATTTCTAGGCTCTCTGTTCTCTCCCATTGATCTGTATGTCTATTCTTAAACCAGTACAACACTGTCTTCATTATGTTAGTTTATATTAAGTCCTGAAGTTAGGTAGTATCAGTCCTTCAACTTTGTTCTTTTTCAGTATTCGCTATTCTGGGTCTCTTGTTTGTCCATAACAACTTTAGAATCTGTTTGTCCATATCCATAAAATAACCTGCCAGGATTTAGATTTGGGTTGAATCTGTAGATTAAACTGAGAAGAACTAATAACTTGATAATATTGAGTCTTCTTGTCCATGAACATGGACTATCTCTTCATTTATTTACTCCTTTGATTTCACTCATCAGAGTTTTGTAGTTTTCCTCATGTAGATCTCATACATATTGTGCTAGATTTATAGCTAAGTAGTTCATTTAGGGGGTGGGGGGGTGCTAATATAAATGGTATTATGTGACTGTTAGTTTTTCTGAGCATTTAAAAAACCATTAAAAAGTTGTTAGAACATATGAAGCATCCAATTACATGATCCAAGTAATCATGTAATTCAGAATGTGGTTTGAGAGTATTTTAATTTAAGAGTATTTAATTTAATTTGAGAGTATTTTACTATTAGATAAAATCAAGAATAATTAGAAAGAAATCCTAATAACCTTCGCCTCCCCTACCTCAGTACACACAGACACAATACTACCACTTTGACATGTCACCAATTCTTGAGAGAAAACTAGGTCTCATTTACCTAACAAAATAATATGAAATGGTATGGGCTATAAATATTTTTAAATGAATGTGTTCAAATTTTAAGTTCTTAGATATTTAAAACAATAGTTTGAAGGAGGTGTAAAGATAAATTTATTTAATATAGATGTTATAGATTAAAATCTTTAGATTCAGAGATGAGTCAAAAGCTAATTAATAGAGTTAGGTCTAGAAACTAGTGGACTTATCTTCTGTGGGACTGTAAGTTAGATTATACAAATTTTTATTCAAAAGTGTACTATGTAAATTGGAGTTGCAAATAGAGAAGAGGATCAGTACACTTCTAAGTAGTTTTCAAAGTACTAGCATTTCTTGATAGATAGTTATTCTGAAACAATGTATAGGCCTTACCGTTTAATGTTATCTTTTCTGTGGCGACAGGAGTGTTCTCTACCCCTGGCTTTATTAAGCTGTTTAAGACTGTCTTTAGTCTTTCATTTTGACATACTCATAAGTAAACTGGAATCACCTATAAACAAACCAAAAAATGACCAGGAAAACATTTTATTTTCTTCTTCTCCTGGCTAACCATTTCTACACTTTAGAGAGGAACTTTAAAAATAGAACAGAGCCTATCTTTCCTGCTCCAGGCCACAGTCACCTTCTAAAAATAGAAGGTGGGTGTGTGCCTCTCAGCTGCCTAACAGAAAAGGATTCCTTAGCCTGCTCCTTTGTCCTTCCTTCGGAGTAGGCTGAGTTCTGATTGCCTGCGTCCTTTATATTTCTGAGTGCTAGGGTCTTCTTTATTCTAAAAGGTGGTTTTCACAGGATTCTTCCAGCTTACAAGGTCTGTGTTGTCTGTTTGATCTTGGTCTTCAGCTTGTTCTTCATCTCCTCTTTCTGAGGACGAAACTTGATGTACAGTCCAGTTTTACTCTGTCTCAAGCCAATGAAACAAGCTACTAATCTAGTTCTCTCACATCAATAATAATAATAACAGCTGCTTATATTGGCTGAGTGCTTTCATTAGTCTGTGCTTTATATATTTATTATCTCATTTACTCCAGCAATCTCATGGGGCAATTGCTAAAGGAAGCCAAGATTCAAACCTAAGCAGCCTCTGCTATTAAATATTACTTACTATAAAATGGGTATAGTATGAAAAAAATCTGTGTGGTAAGGGTGGCTGTAAATCATTTTATAGTCTCTCTGCAATTAGATAACTTGATGGTTATATTAGCAGTAAGCTACCTGGGAAATGTGTTTGTACAACCAAGTCAGCGCTGTGAGGCTTTTTGTTTGTTTTTTATTTGTTGCACTTTGGGTCTTCATTGAGGTATGCGGACTCTTCATTGTGGCATGCAGGCTTTTCTACCTGTGGTGTGCGGGCTCTTAAGGGTGCGGGCTCTCTAGCCTGCAGCATGCAGGCCCTCTAGTTGCGTTGAGTGGGTTTAGTTGCCCTGAGGCATGTGGGATCTTAGTTCCCAACCAGGGATCAAACCTGCATCTCCTGTATTGGAAGGCACATTGTTACACCACTGGACTATCAGGGAAGTCCCAGTGCTATGTTTTTTGTAAGGACCCTTTTTGGAAAAGAAAACAGAAGCTTCATTAAACTTTCCCTCTGGTCTTCACAAAGAAGACTATCAGTAAGCGATTTATTAAACATCAGTATATACTAGACGTTTTACCTAGGTGTTTTCACTTATCTGTCTTAATGCTTTTTATATGTAAGAAAATTCTGGGTAAAAGAGGTAAAAGCCACACAGCTATTAATAATAACAAAATGGAGTTGGAATTTATTCTAGTCAGTTTGCAAGTGATGTCATTCTATGTCTAACTGGTTCAGGAAAAAAGTAGTATTTATTGAATGGATACTGGGATATTACACAAGCCACATAAAGGGCAGAGATATGGGTGGTCCTCAAAAATAACTGCTAACAAGAATGTTGAGATTGCTGGGGTTTTTTAAAAGTATCTCTGATCTGCCAATTGGCTTCAGTCTCTTTTTGTAGATCAGAAGAATGCCAACACTCCCCAGGCTTCATAGTTTAGAGTTGAGACCATTCCAGGGGTTCTAACTGAACTGAGGTCAGTTTCCCATCCTTAGATTAACATTTAGGGACAGTGACGAGGGTCATGTAGAAGGCATGGCCACTGAGGTTCCCACCGTGTGTGTTAGGGCTGTTCTTAGAAAATGCTGGTTCACTGTGAACTGGGTAGCACCATCCCAGCTGGTACACAATGCCTGACTGAGACCTGGCCTCCTGAGTAGGTCGCATTTATTCTCAATCCCTGTTCTTCTCCATTAGCTCCACTGTGAACTGGGTAGCACCGTCCCAGCTGGTACACAATGCCTGATGGAGACGTAGGCCTCCTGAGTAGGTCGCATTTATTCTCAATCCCTGTTCTTTCCCATTTGCTCCACTAGATGGTATGTCATTGAGAAGATTTGCAGTGTATTAATACGTGAGGAAACAGGCCTTATAAAACAAGCAATTTCATGAAAGGCATGAAATCAATAAGAGATAAGATCTGTTCTGACATAATTATCACTTTAGTTTGGGGTATTCATGCAAGTTTTCATGAAGAGGTACTTGATAAGGACTTTGGCAGATAAGTTCATCTTAGAAATAATTATTTTCCAAGTAGAGCAATCAACAAGCAAAAAAAGAGAATAAAGCACATTAACTGACACTGAGGAAACCAACCTAGAAGAATGCCCAGGATTCAGATCCTGATCCTTCTGACTCCAAAACCCATGTTTCTGTTGCTTTTAATACCATAAAGCATACTGAGCAAGTACTAAATGAAATAATCTAGGAGACTGGTAGCAGATTAGTTTAGCAACCCCTACAGAAGTACATATGGAAAATTAAAGGGTCTAAGGTGGTAACATTGAGAATGATAACATTGTGGGCAAAAGTATAATAAAAATACAGAGACTATGAAAAACAAACAGGTTAGAGGAATATTTAGTGTCTTTGGGCAACAGAGGATGAGATGGTTAGTGGCATCACCAATTCAATGGAGATGAACTTGGGCAAATTCCCGGAGATGGTGAGGCCTGGCGTGCTGCAGTCCATGGGGTCGCAAAGAGTTGAACATGACTGAGCAACTGAACTGAAATGGATTAAAGTGATAGAAACCAATCTAAATTGAAATAACCAGTTATGCAAACTGGAGAAGAAGTCAGAGCTAGAGATTTGGGAGCATGGTATGAAACCTCATGAGCTTCCCAAAGGAATTCTGTGTGCAAGCAAAAGTGAGCGTGGACTGAAACAGAAACACCTACCCAGTTAGTGTGAGATGGAGGGAAACTCTGATTTCACTCTTTGTGTTGCTTGCCCTTGTTCTTTGTTTTGTGTTTTCTAGGTTGTCTCTCTAAATAGAGTATGTGCACCTTCATGATAGTAGTCAAACTGTCCTTAGATGTAATAGCTTTATGTGCTTCACTCAAAGTACATAATCAGTATATTGCTTTTTAAAAATATATATTTTCATCAATTATTTTAATACTTTTTGGACTATGATGCTTTATGTAACTTTTATGACACTTTTCAAGGAATTCTAATTTGCTGAAATGTAATATCCAAACATTACAATGATACCTTACAGTTTCCTTTGCCTCAAAACGCATTGCTCACTTCTGTTGTTGTCGTCCAGTCACTTAGTCATGTACAACTCTTTGTGACCCCATGGACTGCAGCACACCAGATTCCTCTGCCCTCCATATTTTAGAAAAGAATCTACTTGTGAAATATTTTAAATGGTCCATAGCTTGTTCCTTTAAAAGTACTACACTGTAATGGAAGAGTAGATGGTGTAAAATATAAAATTTCAGAGTCACTGCTATAATATACTTAACACTTTTAATGTGTAATACTTTTGGTATCTTCATAGATTTAAGAGTATGAACCATTTCTTCTTTGCAGAAAGTACAACATTGATTTCTAAATTTGCAGGTGGATATTAATTTAAAGGTCAAAGTTATTTTTTTAAGTAATCTCATTAATATTGGTACATTGAAATTAGAATGTGTTTTGATCAAGTACTAGAGATGCCTTAGGTTTGTTGGCATATGATTGGGATACATTCTGTACCATTGCAAGTCATAATTTCTGATCTCTCCTTTTCCCCCAGCTTCTGTTAGTCCCAAACAGGTAGCTTCGGAAGTAGCTTGGAGTTAATTTAATATCCATTTACACCCACTTTGTATACATCCCAGCCAGGGCTCTATAGAATCAAGGAAAGACAGCTAATATCTGTATTTGAATAAACTGTATTTTTGATATTTCTTTTTTCTCATTTACAGGGAGTTGATTTTCATATGGAGTAAACTTCAACTAAAGTCTAATCCTTCAAAACAAGTTTTTGTAGATCAGTGCTACCAGCTCTTAAGAACAGCAACTAATGTGAGAGTCATATTTCCTTTCATGAAAATCATTAAAGATGAGGTAAATCATATATATTTATCCCTTCATTTTAAGTTAAATTTAAATGACAGTTCACTGAAACTTGCATCTCTTATAAAATTTATTTGATCATGTAATTGAAGTAAAGAAAGATTTTAAGGCCACTTTCTCCATATATTATATACTCCCCTCCCTCTAACCTTAAACTCCCAAGACACAAAGCTTATACATAAATGAAAATAACTGAAAAAAAAGAGATTAAAAATCCAATTTAGTGTTACATAAAGTTTAATGTGGGAACAACTTGCTTCTGTAAGAAACTGTTATCTCTTTTCTTAAAATAAGCCTGTCAGTTTTAACATTAGTCTAAATCCTGTTTATATAATATTAACTAATTTGCAAATGATCTTTGTGTGACTATAGGTAATACCTAATTCACTGTCATAGAGAAATACAGTTGATAGTTTTAAGTGTGATGTTTAGATGAAAAGGAACAATGAATTCTGAGGCATTTTTGAAACCTAAGGACTCATTTTTTAAGTGTTTATTTAAAATAAGAGTAAAAACCCATTACCTGTTTTTAAAAATAGTTCTGAAGCAAGTTTTTCATGGGCTACTGGCAAGTGTGTTTCTACGTAAGATTCTTATATAGACATGAAAGTAGATCATACAGATCTTTTTACTTTTTCTCCTCAAATATTAACAGAACTTTAAATACAAAGATAGGAAAGATAAAGCTACCTTACATTTTAGATAGCTCCATTTAACTGAATCTTTATGTGGGTTACTTTTAAATACATAAGGAGGCATCCATTAAATAATGTATTTTAATTTTTTATACATTTATTCATTTGTCATATTTATTACTGCATCACTCATTAGATGTATGACCATGTAGTGATCATATTCCCCTGATACAAAGTTTGGTATCATATTCCCATGATATAAAGCATTGTATCAGAGGACTTTTTTAGCTTCTTTTTAGCTAACTACATTAATAGCTTCATTATTAAATAGTGAGATGTCATTTAAATGCATCATCAAAGTTAACCTCTCGTGCCACCAAAAAATGGGGAGAAAAAATCTATGCTGTAGAGTACAAATTTTGCACTTAATATTTGAAGTGTATCAGAATCACCTGTAAAACTTTTCTAAAAATAAACATTTCTCTCTATATGTTTTAAACAAATGATTCTCATCTCAGATGGTAAAGAATCTGCCTGCAGTGCAGAAGACCTGGGTTCAATCCCTGGTTCAGGAAGTTCTCTGGAGAAGGGAATGGCAACCCACTCCAGTATTCTTGCCTAGAAAATCCAATGGACAAAGGAGTGAGGGCTACAGTCCATGGGGTTGCAGAGAATAGGACATGACTGAGTGACTGACACTTTCACTTTTCACCAAAAACTGAGAGACTCTTACAGAAAGTTTAAAATATAGGTGAAGTTCAGCCAGTTATCTTAGAACTTTCTCAATTTCACATTCATGGTCAACCTAAGAATACATGATAAGAAAAATTCAAAGATGAAATAAGTATTTTAAATGTGCTTAATTTCTTATACACTCTACTAAAACCATTTCCTCTGATGGAGTAGATCATTCATACGCCTCAGTGCTGTGACAGGAGGCACAGGTAACACTGTGAGTTCAGAAGGAGACATTACAGATAGTGCATCTGAGAAGGCTTCACAGAGGAGGGTGCTTTCAGCTGGGTGTTAAAGGATAGAATAGGGTAATACTGATATTTGTAGAGGACTTCTTCATTTTATTATTTGGTTCTCATAACTGCCAGTGGCATTAATAGGAGAGTGTGGATGGGGAAACTAATCAAAGAGTTTAGTTGTTGTGGGGTTTGGGTTGCTACAGATACAAAAGGGACTGAATATTACACTAAAAGCTGAAACAATTCCTAAATGTAGTGGAATGGTTAAGGGCTTTCAGGTTAGAAAGTAGCCTTAGCCTGTTCCCTTTTCTGATGATCCTGAAATTTTTTTAAACCTCAGCAACTAAGTACATTATAATTCGTGAAGAAAGGTAGAGGATGTAGATAGAACTTTGGAGAAAGAGAATGAATTGTCTTGAAGCAGTGGATTTGAATTTGCTGTATCGGAAAATTTATGCAGATTTTGTAACTGACCATTAGAAAGTAACCATTATTATAAGTAACAATAAGAAATAAGAAATTCAAATTCAGAAAAGGATTCCAAGTTGTAAATGGTACATTTACAGAAGACTAAAATTGGTATAATATATCTGATCTCATTCATTCTGCAAACACTTGTTCAAAGGTCTTTATATGCCAAGTCCTATGGTAACCACAGAAGATGCTAACCACATGAGATACTGTCCCTGTGATTTAGGATTCTCAAAGAATGAGTAGGAGATAGGAATTTACCAGCTAGGTAAAGTGATATGCAAAGTTAAGGTCTGCTTGTGGAACTGTAAGGGTTACATAGCACATAAGGAACTCAGAGGACATAAGGCTGGCAAAGTAGTGTTCCTCCGTGTCATCTGTAATTTACCATATGCAGGCAATATGATACACACACATAACTGTTAAAAACATATTATTTTATCTCTTTCTATTCAAACAAGCAGATCATTCCCAAATCACTAGAGGCAGTATTTATAACTTGAATTCAGGTGGATAGTCAACAAATTCCCAACTAAAAGCTTGATGCAGTTATATTTGAGTCATCAGTAAAAGTTTCAAAGCTTGAATACTTTTCAGATAACTTTCAGTACGTTCATTATTCTGATACCTTACTGATTTGGAAAGTTTGTAATTGTCTTCTTCATATGGGTTACATTTCTCTGCTTATTTTGATAAATAATATTACTTAATAAGTAAAATAATATTATTTAGTGCAGCTTTATGAAAGTTTCCATAAGCCATCCTTTTTAAAAAAAAATCTAGATTTGTAATAAACTTTAATCACTATAAGTTTATGAAGCATTTATATTTTAATCACCATAAGGTTATAACATTTTCTATTATGGTTAGTAAGGCTCATAAACTTGAAAATTAAATAAATTGAAGCTAAAATGCTATCTTTTCCAGATTATTCTCAAGTAAAAAAAAGAAATTTATTTACATATTAAAAAAGAGTAAACAAGGCTACCCATTGAAGAAAACTGCATGTTTAGAATACTATTATTTGTTTATTTAGCTTTCGTTTCAGAGTTGTATTTTAAAAAGATAAACTAGTAAGGGCTGATGATTTTTTAGAAGGTATTCAGTGGTAATATTTTTCTTTTACAGGTTGAAGAAGAAGGCTTACAAATTTGTGTTGAAATATGTGGTTGTGCTCTACAACTAGATCTTCATGATGATCCCAGAACTAAATGTCTAATTTATAAAACAATTGCACATTTTTTACCAAATGATTTGGAGATTCTCAGGATTTGCGCACTCTCGATATTCTTTCTTGAGCGCTCCTTGGAAGCTTATCGTACTGTCGAAGAGCTTTACAAACGCCCAGACGAGGAATACAATGAAGGCTCAAGCAGTGTTCAGAATCGCGTTCGTTTTGAATTACTTCCAATTTTGAAAAAGGGATTGTTTTTTGATCCTGAATTCTGGAACTTCATTATGATTAAGAAAAACTGTGTAGCATTACTGAGTGATAAATCAGCAGTTAGATTTCTAAATGAAAGTGCACTGGAAAATTCTACAGGTAATGTAAAAAAGGCATTGGATCAGCACGGTTTAGAGGAAGGGCTTGACTCTCTTACAGATCAAAGCACTGGAGAGCTTGATCCTGATGATATATCTGGAGTGCAACCAAAAGGCCCTATTAATGCAAAGAAAAACCTCACAGCTCTTAATGCTTCCAGAGTAGATCACAATGTCCCAAGGCATCGGTGTATGTTATGTAACAAGGAATTTTTAGGTGGTCACATTGTAAGGCATGCCCAGGCTCATCAGAAAAAGGGCAGTTTTTCATGTGTGATATGTGGCAGGAAATTTAGAAACAAAGGACTTATGCAGAAGCATTTAAAGAATCATGTTAAGAAAATACAGAGACAGCAAATTGCTGCCGCTCAGCAAGAGGATCAGGAAAGTCCTGCTTTGGAAGAAATGAATTGTTCTGATACTTTCATTTCATTTGAAAATGGGAATTCTGATAATAAGGATTTGGAAGTAGAGACTGTTACTGGTGCCAGTGACGGAAAAAAAGACATCATCCCTGCACATGTGGGTGAATTCACTGAAATTCCTGTAAATGTATCAGAAGATGTTATTGAACACATTACTGAAAATGGCAGCCCTGATACTTCTTTAAATAATGTCTCAGAGCCATTACCTATCTGTGTGGATGACTATGAGGAGGAAGAAGATGAGGAAGGTGATTATGAAGAAGATGACTATGACCTGAATCAAGAAAGTTCAGTACTTCATAAAATCAATGGAGCTGTGTGCCATCCAAAAGACATATATGCAACAGATCAAGAAGGAAATTTTAAGTGCCCTGCTCTTGGCTGTGTCAGGATATTTAAAAGAATTGGGTTTCTGAATAAGCATGCAAGGACTGTACATCCAACTGATTTAAATGTGCGGCAAACAGTAATGAAGTGGAGCAAAGGAAAATGCAAATTTTGTCAAAGGCAATTTGAAGATTCTCAACATTTTATAGATCACCTTAATAGACACAGCTATCCAAATGTGTATTTTTGTTTGCATTTTAATTGCAATGAATCATTTAAGCTGCCATTCCAACTTGCTCAGCACACAAAAAGTCACAGGATATTTCAAGCTCAGTGTAGTTTTCCAGAATGCCATGAGCTTTTTGAAGATCTTCCTCTGCTATATGAACATGAAGCTCAGCACTATTTAAGTAAAACACCAGAATCATCTGCACAACCAAGTGAAACAATTCTTTGGGATGTTCTTACAGACGCAAAATCTAATCATCAGGAAAAAGACTCATCTGGTAATGAGAGACAGACTATTAATCTTCCAGTTTCTACTAGCAAATCAAGGAAAGATATTACAGAACCAAAGACATGTATAGAAAATATGGAAAAGAAAACAGACCGTTTAATTCAGAATGGAAATGAACATTCTGATGACACTGTTTCTGATACAAGCTTGACAGACCAAAAGATGCCTGACATAGAGCCAAATTCTGAAAATAATTGTAGTATTAATGATTTAGTCAATGGACACAGTGGAATAGAGCAAACACCTTTAGTTTCATCAGATCCTGCTTTCAAAATTGATACAAATAGAATCAGGACAGAAAACGGTTCCATTTTACCCAGTGTTGTACCACAAGAACACAGTACCCTGCCAGTATCTCAGGCACCTTCCAAACCAAATCCGACGAGCGAACATACTTCATATGGCTTGATTTTAACAAAGCCATATGTCAGACCATTGCCTCCCAGTTACCTTGATGAACGGTACCTTAGTATGCCAAAACGCAGAAAATTTCTGACTGATAGGGTAGATGCCTGTTCTGATCAAGATAACGTTTGTAAAAAATCAGTGAAAAGATTAAGATGTGGCAAATGCCTGACCACCTACTGTAATGCAGAAGCACTTGAGGCTCACCTTGCACAAAAGAAATGTCAGACCCTCTTTGGATTTGATTCAGATGATGAAAGTAAGTCTGCTGTCTTCTCAGTAGGTATATCTGTAGAAGTAGAAAATGCCATAAATCATCATAAGGTTAAAAAAATTGACATTTGTATAACACAGATAATAAAGCACTACTCCGTACATTATTTCCTGTAATCCATACAACCACCATAAGGTTCTGTTCCTGTTTTATAAATCAAGCAACTGACATTCACAAGTAATTTGCATAGGCATAGGCCTATGAACTTGTGGAAGCCAGAACTTAAACACAATTTGTTCATACTTTTGGATCCTACATTTTAACTACCTGAGGCTTTTCTTTATCCCATGTTTTTATGTAATAAGAAATCTGAAGACAAACTAATTATGATGAAAGTGTTTTTCATCTGCATGCCAGAATATAAACCAAGTGAAGCTGAGCCTCTATTACAAAAACAAAAATTAAAAAAAAATAATAATAAAAACAAAATAATTGAAAAACAAACTGAGCTAAAGAAGAACATGCTTTTCTACTAATATTAATATTCTTTGAATGAGTAAGGGTATAAATAAACAGGAAATCTAACTTAGAATACTAGATGAACATCTATAAAATATGAATTAACAGACGTGTTCTGTTTTACAGGTGCCTGATAAAAATGTTTCAGAAAGATCTGTCGATCAAGCAGTAGTGTGCAAAAAGCACTACAAGAAAATGCATCATCAGTTTGCTATTTCCCTGATGGCCTTAATTTTAGAGCGATCTTGGATTACTAAAGATAAAGACAAAGCACATTTTCTAGAATGAACCCACAGAGGAGATGTGCTGGTTTAGACTCCAAAAGGGTTATTACAAAACTCCCAAAGTACCAGTTATCCAGAAAAACCACATTTTTTTTTTTTAAAGAAGTTGATGATGATCAGTAGCAGCATGTTCAGTTTCGCTTATGTGAGAAACATGTTCAGTTTCGCTTATGTGAGAAACATGTTCAGGCAACTAGTCAAAAAGAATAACCAGCTATGGCCTTACAGAAAGGGAAAGACTAACCCATTATATATATATATGTATATATATATATATAAAAGGAGTGGTTTACAATAAACAATTTAAAGTATTCTACAAATAGGATTCTTGTCATGTGTAATCAGATTTTGTCCTTCTTTTGGGTCAAACATGCTTTAAGGAACCATTTCTATTTGGTTTATTATTATTTAGAAACTGATAGAATAAAACTTGACTTTATCACCATCCTAGCCATAAAAGATTGTAACTTGTTTCCAGAGGATTGATTAGGGCAGAGTTCAGTGAATGGCATGCCAGCATTGAAAATTAACAGGAGACAAAACAATAGTGCTTTGCTAATGAGCTCTTGACAGAACCTTCCACTTTCCATTTTTATAATACCAACGAGCTGTAAAGCAGCAGCCTCAATAGAAAACATACTATCAGTAACTCCGGGGAGAGATGGGAGGAATGTAAGACCATTAAAGGCTCTCTTAGATGTCTTAGTTGAAAGAAAACACTGAATTGCAAATTTTTCAATGTGAATAATGGTATAAGCACACTGGTGTATTTCTGTCTGTATATAGAGTAGTGTTAGGACATTGCTTGATAATTCATAGTAAGGTCCTTTAGACATGAATGTGAATTATCTAAGTACAGTCCTATGAAAATAACTGGCTGTAAAAAAAAAACATGCAGCCAAGAATCAGGTCAAGAATTCCTTGGTTTTATTCAATTAGGAGAGTTTATTCTAAAATAAGCCATATTACTCATGCTTTCTTATTTATTTCTGATAAATTTGGCCTGAATAGTAATTTTTATATATAAAAGGAAATATTTACACAAAAACTTGCACAGCAAGAACACAGTAAGATATATTGATACATTTATTTTCTTTGATGACCAGTAATTTTCCTAAGGAAGATTTTTAACTTAATAGCCAATAAATTGTTTAAAAAGTTTTTAAAAATACCCTCTCAGATGTGTTCCACTTGTATAGTCTTTAAAAGAAGAAGCTTAAAGACTTCCTTTTACCTAATAGGGTATTAATCTATAGCAGGGGTAAAATGAACAAAAGCTGCAAAGGTAGATTCTTTAAAAACAGAGCTATTAACATCCAAATATGTCAACCAAATATTCCAGTTATTCCAACTGGTCTATTCTTGTTCAAAGTATATAATCTCATCAGACCCTACATTATAAATTTTGGGATATTAAAGCTTATTGAATGAAGCTACTAAGGAAGTGAAACTTTTCTTCATGGGCAGGATCCAGACTTTATTAAATTAGGATTTCCAGGTCATGATAAATCAGATATCTAAAATAATGTCCCAATTTTATTAGTTTATTTATCACAGGCATTTACTACTATGCAATTGATAGTTGGCAGTCCATTTCAGTCAAGTCAGGTTTTTGTTTTGTTATGTAGCCTATATTAGGCTATGGATTTTACATTTAAATAACATAAGATAAACAACTTGATCAGATATTTATGTCTTTTAAGGATAACTAAAGAAAAAAACATTTTTCATGCTTCCTGATACTAAAATATAATACTTGAGTTCTATTTCAGTTCAGTCATGTATTAAAAAAGCCTGTTTGGAAGCTAGTTCATATGGGCAGTGAAGTTATTTTGAAATATTTCTGCTTTGTATGTTTTCCAGAAGTTTAAAACCACAGCTTAACATTTTATCACATTTTTAACTTTTTATTTTTTATAAGTTGTAACTATTGACATAAATCCATGTCTGCAAATTGTTTTCATTCATTCTGTAGTTCATACCAAAATGTTTTAAACATATTCCACATGTTATTTTTTTGTCTTTAATTTGAGGTTTGTTTTATTTCTACTTTTGTTTTGCTAAGGGAAAACTTTCTGAAAGACTGAGCTCAAATTGGTTTATACATCAAGGGATTGTTATATAAAATTCTGTTGGACCACATTGTTCTAATTCTAACCTCTTTACTTATCAAATGATTGCTATTGAAAGAATATGTGCATTTTCTTATGTATGCCTTATAAAACTTACATCATTTTGCTTTTACGAGGTGCGTAAACTTCCAACAGTTCTAATGTGAGATCCAGAAGACAAGGAAGCTTTCTTCTTATTCCTCAAAATCTTCTTTTTCTTCTCTACTCCTTCTATTTTAAGGATGTGTTTATCTTACATGGACCAGGTTTCAATCCTTCATTGTCAAATAAAAATTTCCATTGAAATATTAAATACTAGCTTCCTGCTATGTTTCAGTAAGGTCAAAAGAATAGCAAATCTGAAATTTTGCTGCTCAGATATTATGGAGAAGGTAGAAAAGGAGACCCTTTGTGGACAAGGACACTGGTACTTTGGGCTTTAGCCATATTTTTTTTTCTTTTAAACCACCAATTATATAATGAAAAGATAACTTATACCATCAAACTTGTGATTCTTTTCAAATCACACTTGAAAGTACAGCCGTACTCCTTTCATATTTGGTTCAAACTGTAGTATAGGTGAAAAACCTAAAAAGAATGGTAGTGTTTATTTTTTAATTTATTTGGTACTGTAAAACACACCTTTTCAGAATGACTAAATGCTGCATATGCATTTTGGAATTGTTAATATGTGAAAGGTATTACAGATTCAGCAAGAAAGGAAATTTGTGCTTCCTTGTTGAACATTAAATTATTTTACTTTGCATTTTATAAGAGTACAAATTAAAACTGAGCCATTGAACTGCAATAAATCAACAATAGTGTCTCATTTCAAGAAATTTTTTGTACTGTACATAGATTTGTTCAATAAAACATTGTCCTTGTTGGTAATGAAGTGTTCAGTTTTATGTAGCACATCACTTCAAAAGGAATTAGGCTTAAGGTAAATGTTAAATAAGAAATTTATATTATGTTTCATAAGAGAATGAGGTATTTCAGTTAATATTACTATATTCAGATTATTGAGTGATTTTAAAATACATGGAAAACAGAAAACTCTAAAAGTTTATATAAAATAGGTATTTTTAGACATTGTTTAAACTAATTCCATATGCAGGAATTACAAGTTGATAGAACACTGCTTACTAAAGTTATTTCAGGTAAGTAGTTTCAGTATGAAATAGTAGCCTCTGCAAACTTAGTAAATGGAAGACAAATGTCAGAACTCTCCAGGACAGTGGATGGACTGATCTACATTGGTACTTCTTCAGAGATGAAGAGCCTCTGGTGGAACTTAAAGACTGTGAAGTCATTTTGAAATAAGATGCACATTATGATAATTGCTTCCTACAGAAGCACCTCAATGGGAACATGTTTAAGCCAGTTAGTAATCTGTACCTAAAAGTGAGGTCCTTGGTCATGAGGGCTCTACTCTTTTGGCTCACTAACAAAGGTAGACCTCCTATACTTTTTGCTATAATTTGCAACTTGGAAAAGTGAGGGCTGAAGTAGAAAGAGAAGCTCTTTGATGTGATGATAGCACTTCAAATGAAAGAATAGATATTCTGTTAATTACAGTGATTGGCAAATATTACAAATGTTATGCTTTGAAAAACATGAGAAAGTTATTAAAGCATTCCAGAGCTGAGATCTAGAATTCACAATCTATGATTCGTGGTCATATGATCTTAGATGATTAAATAAATGCATTGAGGTATTTAGATACAAAGTTACTGGGGTTATCTCGACTTTCTATTTTTTCTTTTCTGAAATTTGAGGAATGCTGGGAAGCAATTGAATATTAAATACATTTCCAAGACAAATGAGTTAGATTGCTTTCATAGCATAAAATTCATACTGATTTCAAGAGTCAACGGATAATGAGGCCAGAAATTTGGGCTGTACAGCCATCCATATCTGAAATGGAGGCAATCCAGTATTACTTGGAATAAATACTAAAGATGGGAGAGAGATTCATGCCTTATTTTGGGGTACTGTAAATGGAGAAAAAATTACTGTGTTCCAGCTTACTTTATGTATGTTACCTCTAATTGTTAAAACAACCCAAAGATGGTTAGCAGCAGTGCTTTTTAGACACGAAGGCTCAGGAAGGTTAAATAACCTGACTAGTCACATAGCTAATAAATGCAGAGGTGGGACTGAAAAATCTGCTGTTTCCTCCTAAAATCATGTCATGTAGTTTCCATTCTGGCATGCAGTTTTCCCTACAAATGTGGGGCACGAGCAGATCTGATAATATCCAAGTGGAAAGGGTTAGACTTGCCTGAGGATCAGTGATTTCAGAGACAAAGGATGAAGTCTGGTACAGACTGGCTGGTCTGATGTTTCATTCTCTTTTCCTAGCAGTGATTCTTAAAAGTGTGGTCCCCAGAACAGTAGCATTATCACCTGAGAACTTATTAGAAATGCTAAATTTGGGGGACTTCTCTGGCAGTGCAGTGGTTAGGACTTGGCACTTTCACAGGATTCTGTAAGTCACAAGGATGTGGTTGTGCCCCTGCCCCCAAGAAAACAGAAATGCTACATTTTTGATCAACTGAGGGACCAATCTGTCTTAAGTCATCTAGGTGGTTTTGATACACACTAATGTTTGAAAACCACAGGTCTAAATCAACAAGGTTCTTCGTATTTCCCTAGCAATTAAACTATTAAATGTATAGAGCCTTAGAAATCCAATTTCCAGGGCATTTAAGGAAGTCACCTTTAATAGGTTTTAAACAACTACTGTTGAATGAATGAATATTTTTACCAGCTCTTATACCCCAAATCTGCTAATCTAGAAAATTTTTTTTTCCCCATGAAGTATTCAGTGAAACTACCAGAATGTCGTTTAATGAAAAGAGGTCAAAGATGTGAGATCAAATATATTTAAATTCTAGCATAATAGCTTTAAGGCAACTAAGTCCATCCCACAGAATTCAGACTTCCTTGTCTGTTAAAAGGGGAGAGCCAGTCTTGAAAGTTTAAGAGTTAAGTGCTGAGCCCTTCCTGTGAAAATTGTATTGACTTGACTTCCTTTTCATGTTGTGGCTCCTGCACTGTCCTTGTTCTAGCCAAACACAGCCACGCTGTTCTAGGCAGTTTTCACTGCGGCTCCCTCCACCTGTACTTCTTTTTCTACTTCACTCATTCTTCGCTTAATCTTCTTGAGCATCATTACACTCTCCAGAAAGCAGATCTCTCCTAATAATTCTGGATTTCTGGATCCTCTCTCTCCCAGTCCTCCTCAGTAAATAGCAACTCCAGTTGCCCAAACCAAAACTTGCCAGTCATCCCTGACTTGTTATCATGTTTTCCACTCTCACCTGAACTATTTATTGTATTAATCTTCTAGTTGAGTTCCCTGCCTTTATCCTTGCCTTTCTGGCAGTCTGTTCTAGAAAACAGCAGCCAAAATGATCCAGTTTGAAACCAGTCAGATCATACCATTCCTTGGTTTAAAATCTTCCAATGGCTTTACAGTTCATTCATTTATTCAACAAATATTTATTGCATACTATGTGCCAGCCTCTGTTAATAGACAATGAAAAAGGAAAAAAAAATATAAAAAAATCCCTGAATCTCAGAACTCACATTCTACTGGTGGGGGTGGGGGGGTAGGTGCAAAAGTACAATATAAATGGTATAGAGAAAAGTAGGTAGAGACTTATTATCCTGAATATCCTGGCCGAAATGTTAATAATGCTTCTGTTGAGAAACCCTGCTCTGGATCAATCTTGACTACAGCTCTAACCTCACTTCGTACCGCCTCCTCTTTGCACAAGCTGCTCCAGCCTCCTGGCCTCCTTCCTATATGCCAAGCATTCTGTTCTTTCCTCAGAACCTCTATTGCTGCTTTTTCCTAGAACACTCTTCTGTGGTTCAGTCTCTTATTTTCAGATCTTCCCTCAGTGTCACTTAGAGAAGCCTTTCTTCACAGCCTGTATAAAATAGCAACATCCTCTCCTCCATCCCTCTGACTTCTCCCATAGAATTTCCTGGCATTATTACATTTTTGTCTCCTACTAAAATGCAAGCTCCAAAAGACCTGTAATTGCTCCCAGCATAAAAAACAGTGTCTGGCAAGTGAAAGTGAGAAAGTAGTGCTCAGTAAATACGTTACACACCCACACACAGTTTGGGCATGTCTTTCATGTGGCTCCGCACCAGTATTGTGAGCATTTATCTCTTTATTTGCAACACTCCCAAAAGCTTCTCGGAGAAGGAGGGTCTGTGTCATTTCTCATGGTAGGCGATCAATGCTTAATGAAAAATGAAGAATTGGTATCTGATAAGTAAAATGTACCCTAAATGACATCCACTGGCAAGTCATTTTAACTATGCTTTGAATGCCTTATCTTTAAGACTACATTCACAGTACGTTTTGACTGATATTTAGCTGTGATATTTACATAAAAGAAATTTGCTTATCTGGATATGCAAGTGTGCACATTTTAGCTACTAACTGGCAATAATCTGATTAATGTTAATAAATCTAAACGATGACTCAAACAACGGAAGGAGACAGAAGGCAGTGACAGTGAATTTAAGCCTGAAGTTTCCCTCGTAAATGTTGACACTAACAGTGATAACAAGAGCTAATACATACTGGGCTCTTTCTAGACGCGACGGTTCTTTACCCTCCTCCCCCGCCCCAACAACCCCATCAGGTAGGTATCTCTACTGTATCCATTTCGAGACAGAAAACTGGGAGACCAAAGAGCTTGCTCAAGGTCACAGTTAATAAGTGACGGAATAAAATCCTGGCAATCTGGTTTTCAGAGTCCCCAACCTTAAACCATTCGCGATATTGCCTCGACTAAAGCCAGGCCGGCGAGGATCAGAAGAGAAACAATAGCGGACCCCAGCTTGTTGGCGAGTTAAGCTGAAAGGCGGGCAGGTGTGGCATAGGGTAGGTGATTTTCTTCCTAAACTTTTCCAAGTACAATGTGAAACAACGCCAGATTGTTTCAACACACAACTATGTAACTTAATATCAAACTACAGGTGTACCACCCAACTCTCAAATGGCCAAAGATAACTTTCGTGCGCTGCCGAGGGGCTGGGCCCGCGGGCGGGGAGGAGACGCCTCCATTGGCCGGCCCCGCTGCATCACGGGAGCTCGTCTTGCGCGGGGGCCGCCGCCCGCTTTCCACGCACCTGTACTGCGCAGGCCTCCCAGGCGCTCTTTTGGAGGCGGGACTCCTGAGGAATTGAGGGTTTCGTTTTATCTTGTGGAATGCCGGCGTTCCAGTGTAAACGCGGAGCTTCCCTAAAGTGAGATGCGAGAGAATTCTCTCAGTTCCCAGCAGCCCGGAACTACCGATCGGAGCACCGAGTTTCCTGAGTCCCTCATTTACTACCACTTCCGCCCACGGGTCTGGAATACCCGAGGCTCTTTGGCGGCGAACGGCGCGGAAGGCACTTCCGGTTTCTGTTGTCAAGGCGCCGGCCCGGCGGGCCTGAGAAAGCGACGTTGTTGGCGGCGTCCTCTTCCCCCATTCTGGGGGTCGAGATGACGGGGCTCAGCTACACGGAGATGGAGGGCTGTCGTAACCTGCTCAGCCTATTAGACAACGACGAGATCATGGCCCTATGCGACACTATCACCAACCGTCTGGTGCAGCCTGAGGACCGCCAAGGTAAGGGTAGTCCCCACTCCCCGCCCCCCAAAGGGTGGCTATCTCTCCTCAGGCCTCACTCGGCCGCCAGCTTGCCGGAGCGTGTGAGTGGAGGCCGTGGTGGGTCTCGCTCACGGCCGGTCCGCGACTGCACTTGTGCGGAACCCGCGGAAGTCATGGCCACTGTAGCTGCTGTGTTGCCTCGTAGCCACGGCTCACCCCCGCCTCGCCAAGCACTGGGGGAAATGGTGGGCTGAAAATGGCGCTGCTGTCCAGGTTTTAATCCTTTAAATGTTACGAGCACATCGCTGCTTGTTTCGTTTCGAAAATTCAAGGTACGTGAATAGTGATTTTTTTTTTTTTTTTAATTCGGGAAGTCGGGTGTTCTCCTCTTTCAGTTTCGCTCAGGGAAGGAGTGTCAGCTGCTGCTTATTTTCTTGAGCTTGGGGAAGATATCATAAACACTATCAGTCTGCTGCTTTATGCGTTTAAAACAACTGCTGTGATAAAAAAGCAGCAGTTAGTTTGAATCCATGTCTCTTTTTGGATCCACATTTTTTCAGAGATGATTCTGCGTACTAGGACTACATTACTTTCAGAGCCAAATAAACATTTCGGTAGAGTAGATTTTATGGGTTACAAATATTGTTTGGTTGTGATGTAATGAGTAGCTTAAGCATTAAGCATTTATCATTTTGTGTATTACCTGACTAGTTTTATTTTAAATTTGCTGAAACTTTAAAATGGGAAAATTTCTGACTCTACATTAGCTTATGACTTAAGTCAGAGTCTGCCTTTTATAACTGCCTTACTCTTTTGAGTCCTTTTACGTTTTCGCCGTTTAAGGTCATTCATTTGAAAGTGAACCATGAACACCAAATGAATTTCTAAGACGTTAGACTGAAAATAATTTTAGAATTAATGTAGTTCTTTGGCATTTATATATTTTACATGGTAATCATCTTCTAACACTATTGATGAATAGATTAAAATATAATTGATGGTGGTTCTAAAAGCAAACGAGAAATTAAACTACCCCGTACAAAAATGTTAGGTGATTTGACAAATCATTTCGGGGGGGGTGGGGGTGGGGGGAGAGCATAGGAAAAGATAGTCAACATCTTTAGAAAGCAGTGAAATAAAATCCCAAAATATATGGTCTCTATTATATGTACCAAATTTCCAAAACTAAACATATAAACTTCAAATATTGTTTATCTTGTGAAGTAAGTCTTTTGACAACTACTGGGGAGTGTAAGTTGGAACTACTACTTTGGAAAACAAGTTTGGTATTACCTCCTAAAATGGAAGATTGCTTACCTGAGTGTTTCAAACTTCAATGTGCCCATGAATCTCTCAGGGATTCTGTTAAAATGCAGATTCTGATTGACTAGTTTTGGAGCGGGCCCAGAAATTCTACCTTTGTAACAGGCTCCAGGTGATGATCATTCTCCTTGCCCTTCTGGGCTGGGAGACATTTTTGTACTGGGTGGTTTCATTTCTTGTTTGCTTTTAGATCCACCATCAATTATATTCAGCATTTTAACCTATTACAGTTTTAGTCACGTTCACCTATAGTGTGGGAATGTTCAAAGCAATAGTATTTGTACTTGGATACACATAATAAGTCTATAAAACAAAAGTAAATACCTTGTGGTATAGTCTATAATTACCTTAGGTACAGTACTGAAAATCAATTGACTACAGCTGTGTTTATCCGCATAGCTTAATCTCAGAAACAGTAAAAATTAAAATTACAGTAATATAATGATGGATTAGGTTTATAGACTATTCAAAGAAATACCAAACTATATTCTGAAGGGAAACATGGTTGTGTTGTACTACTATAAAGAAAATTGAGGGAATTCCCTGGTGGTCCAGTGGTTAGGACTCTGCACTTCCCTAGCTGGAGGTCTGGGTTCAATCCCTGGAATTCCTGGTCTAGGAACAAAGATCCCACAAGCCCCGAGGGGCAGCCAAAAAGAACGAAAATCGAGGAAATGTTAAATAGCAGTTAGGTAGAGAGAGAGATAATAGCATTATGTAGGGAAAGTTAAAATGAGGATCAAAGATACTAGTTATTTCTATGTCTTAAGCTATGTTGTGTGTATATAGGAGTTCATTTTATTGCCATTCTGTATACTTCATACGGGCTCTCCTGATAGCTCAGTTGGTAAAGAATCCACCTGCAATGCAGGAGACCCCGGTTGAATTTCTGGGTCGGGAAGATCCCCTGGAGAAGGGATAGGCTACCCACTCCAGTATTCTTGGACTTCCCTTGTGGCTCAGCTGGTAAAGAATCTTCCTGCAATGCCGGAGACCTGGGTTCCATCCCTGGGTTGGGAAGAACCCCTGGCAAAGGGAAAGGCTAACCACTCCAGTATTCTGACCTGGAGAATTCCATAGATTGTATAGTCCATTGGGTCACAAAGAGTCGGGCACGACTGAATGACTTTCACTACTTTCATACCTCACACATGTAAAAATAATGTTTAGTCTGTTTAACAGAAATTCTTCAAAATTAAAAAAAGAGATGGTCTTGGCTCTACCACTTCTTACACGTATGATTGTTGATACCTCATGTATCCCTGACTTTCATTATTTGTAGAGTAAGGAGATTGAACTGAAAAGAATTGTAATTTTGTCTATTTTTAGGGATTGTAAATGAATGTAGGTCTATTGACCCTATTAGAAAGAAATTTTTTCTCTAATTCAGTTTTTTTCTTAAAATACAACCATTCCTTAAAATGCTTAAATTCACAATCTCTTATGAGAAGTAAAAGGAAGGGGGAATTTTAGGTAGGGAAATTTAAAAAAAAATTTTTTTTAAACCCAAAACCTGACAACCCACTTCCTGGTTTTTAAAAATGATAACCATCTCATAAAAAAGCAATAATGCCATGAGAAGAGTTTATAAAATATCATTTGATTCTGCTAACCCTGGACAAATTTACAAATGACTCATGATTTTCTGCTAATCTTTACAATTTTCTTTTAGATGCCATTCGTGCAATATTAGTCTACAGTCAAAGTGTAGAAGAACTTTTGAGGCGGAGAAAAGTCCACCGAGAAATCATATTTAAGTATTTGGCAACACAGGGTGTTATTATACCTCCAGCTACTGAAAAACACAATCTTATTCAGCATGCAAAGGATTACTGGAAAAAGCAGTTACAACTAAAATTGAAGGAAACACCAGAGCCAGTTAAGACAGAGGACATTAGACTCTTTGAACAGGTAAAACGGATTTCATAGTGATGTCCTAGACCATAGTTCTGTGTGAGACTCTTTAGATAATCCTAGACCTGGGGTGACATGGTTAATTAATGTTTATTTTTTATAATTTTAGCTTTGTATCTTTTGCATCCTAAAGGAAGAGCAGTAAAGCACCTAAGACAAAGTATTAAAAAAAAATTTTTTTTATTGAAGCATGATTGCTTTACAGAATTTTGTTGTTTTCTGTCAAACTTCAACATGAATCAGCCATAGGTATACATATATCCCCTACCTTTTGAACCTTTTTTTTTCTTTTTAGTAATGTATATGTGATATTCTGTTGATTTGTGAGGGAAAAATGTTTTGCAGCCCTTTAGCAAATGGAGACTTGATTTTTAAAGACAGTAGATAGACTGCATGTGTGCATGCTAAGTCATTTCAGTCGTGATCCTATGACTGTAGCCCACCAGGCTCCTCTGTCCAAAGGATTCTGCAGGCAAGAATACTGGAGTGGGTTGCCATGCCCCTCTACAAGATAGACTGCAGGGTCAATTTAATTTTAATTTAGCCTCTGGTTCTCTAATTTTTTTTCCCCTTCTTTAAAAGAACGCTGTTGTAAGCCCTTTCTTATTTTGAAGACTTTCTTTGGCATTAAATTGCAAAAATGAAAGAAATTTTTGTTATCTATAAAAAAGTCCCTGTTTTAGTAACTTCCTCCAGCTGACATTGGCTGTTTGTATTTCTTTGTATTTCCACTGTGCATTTTAAATACTGTGTGAATATTTAAATACCTATTGACCCTTTAGATAACTTGAAGTTTTCAAACTATACACTCAGATAAAATTAAGTGAGAGATGTTTGCCTTCACATTAGGAAAGGATCTTCTAGGGCTTCCTTAATGTACTGAAAAGAGTGTTAACTTTGAAATCATATAGATGTGACTTCAAATTAGGGGGCCTTGTTTTCTTTTTAAAACAGGCATATGCTTATGTAAATCATTATTATTGACTTAATTCATGCTGATATTTTAAGAGACTTGGTTTTGAACCTTAATTTCTTAGAAGTGTCAGAAGTTTAAACTGAGAATTTCTTAAATGACCTCCCCTTTGTGAGAAAGAACGTACTATCATTGAGTTCATAGGTGGTTCACTTTCTTTCTGCTATAACTAGTATGTTAAAACTTGACTCTGAAATAGCCTCGATAGAAAATAGATATGAGAATTAACCTTGGTTTCATTAATCAGCAGGAAAAAGAAGAAAAAAAGGCCGAAAAGGTTGATTTTCGTCGATTAGGTGAAGAATTCTGTCAGTGGTTCTTTGAACTTCTGAATTCTCAGAATCCTCTTCTGGGACCACCTCAAGATGAGTGGGGGCCACAGCACTTCTGGCATGATGTCAAGCTTAGGTTTTATTACAACACATCTGAACAAAATGTGATAGACTACCATGGAGCAGAAATTGTGAGCCTTCGTCTGCTGTCACTAGTGAAAGAGGAATATCTTTTCCTCAGTCCCAACCTAGATTCCCATGGACTAAAATGTGCTGCTTCTCCCCATGGTCTCGTTATGGTTGGAGTTGCTGGGACTGTCCACCGAGGCAACACTTGTTTGGGCATTTTTGAACAAATTTTTGGACTCATCCGCTGCCCTTTTGTGGAGAATACTTGGAAGATCAAATTTATCAACCTGAGAATTATAGGAGAGAGTTCCCTTGCTCCTGGAACATTAATGAAACCGGCTATTACATTTGAACCAAGTGACCTGGAAGCCTTTTATAATGTAAACACTTTATGTGGTCCGGTGAAGTACAACTCCATGTAAGGCAGGCATTGGACAGTGGGATTGGAGACCAAGATTCATCTAGTTGAAGTTAGGCACTGTTGAACAAAAGAACTAATTTTACCTAGCCCTTGAAGCACTGAGTACAATGTCAATCTGAAAAATCTTCTATACAGAAATTCATCCAAATACTACATCAGTAATGTCTGAGTGATTTCATATTGAGGGGTTGACATATTTTAGTTGAAATGTCTTTCTTGACTACAAGCTAACATATTATGTGAACACTTGCCTCTTTTCTACTTGAGTTGCAGCAAATACTCTGAAAATTTCATGCAATTCGTCAAATAAATCCCACTTCAGATGTTGTAACTAACAGTGTGCCTTAAAAACCAGTTAATATTTTCACTTAGTGGGTATTCTGCTGCTATCTGTACTTTTCATGTGGGGAAAAAATTAATAGTGTTCAAGACTTCCCCTTTAAGTTTTTCAGTTACTTTTGTCTAAATCTTGGTAATTTTACAAATGCATCTTATGACAGTATTGCTTTAAAAAGAAGTACATATTTTAGAGATGTTTAAAGTCCAGTTATTTTAGAAACTTGAATGACATCCTCATACAAAAAGTACAGAAATTTAGCTGGTGGAGAAAAATTTAATTTGCTTTTTAAAATATTTAACGAACATTTTTCAGAGTTATCTATTGTCCAAGCTAAATATCTTATAATATGCAACATTTTGTGAAGTATTTTGGATAATAAGTGCTGTTCTTAGACATTTTTCTTTAAGCTTTCAGCTGACAGTTTCATAGAGCATTTATTATACTGTTAAAATTTTATAAAAGGTATACCCAGTTTCTAATTTAAATGAATTTTTTTTCTTGAATGATCTTAGGTGACCAATGCCCCAGATTAAACATATATTGAGATATATTCCCACGTCATAAATTAAAATTATTATAATTTTTTTCACTTCTGATTTGTTTTATTGGATTTGAGTTACAAGATTAGATTGCCAGATTACACAGTTGCTTTCAAGTTTAAATTCCTCATCACCCAGCAGCTGCTTGCTGAATCTGAATTTATTTAATAATTTTAATTTACAGAAATGTCATTTGGAAAAAATTCAGCTGGGAAATGTTGTGATGAGGTACTAACTTTAAGTCAATTCATGATCATCTAGGGTGACTTACAAAATTTTGGAAACAGGAGGGAAAGATTGATCTTTGTAATTTTTTTTTAGTGCCATGCCTCTTATGAAGGGTACAAATTGATACATCCTCAAATAAGAACTTAATAAAGGAGGGAAATCCCTTTAGTCTGCTGTAAGAATAGTGCTTTGTTTAGGTTTTTTCTTCTTTAAGTTTGAAGTATCATTTTAACATGTAATTGATAGATAACCTTAGTAAAGGATACAATTTAAAATTATTCACGTTTTCTTTGTTCTATTGCTGTCAAATACTGTAGAAATAATACTGAAGGAAGGTGCTCGGGATGGGCAGAAATTACCCGTAGGTATCTTCAGTATTAAATTTTTGCATGTGTAATGTTCAAGTTAGGCTGCAATCTGCATGTCCTTTCAGTCACCCTTTAAAAATGTGAAATCTTTCTGATCTACTAAATGAGAATTCCGCTGGAGAAGGAAATGGCAACTGCAGTATTCTTGCCTGGAGCATCCCATGGACAGAGGAACTTGGTGGGCTACTGTTCATGGAGTCACAGAGAATTGGACACAAATGAGTGACTAAGCGCAATTGAGCATTAGGGCTATATTTTATCTCCTTTGAATCCCCACAGCTGGCTGCACAGTGGGACCTAATGTCCAAGTGAATGGGTGAATGAATGAGTAAAACACACTTAACCTACTGTATAAAAGACTTTTTTTGCATCTAGATTTTGTCTTTGGTTCTAGTCATTAGTGGTGGTCTTGGGGTTATAATCTTGGAATTTGATATGTGGATGCACAAATTTTAGGCCCCAAATTAGGATAAAATTTTAACTTCCTGTTAAAATTTACTGACATAAAGGTCAGAGTAGGATATAATAGAGGGCCCTAAGATGCCTTGGAGAAGGAAATGGCAACCCACGCCAGTACTCTTGCCCGGAGAATCCCATGGGCACAGGAGCCTGGCAGGCTACAGGCCATGGGGTCACAAGAGTTGGACATGACTTAGTGACTGCACCACCACCGCCACCAAGATGCCTAGAAACAGTTTTGCGGAAGTGTGTGCTTCTGTTCAGAGAAGGATCTAGAGGAGTTGAAATTTGTTCATGACGCTTAAAGCTTGGCCAGGCCTTTGAGAACATCCAGAAGCACACTTAATCCATAGTAATTCAGCGGTCAAAGCGGGGGATACCTGGTCTGTCTACTGGAGGCTGACTTGCTGTAGCTGACAGTGACACGTCAGTATGCTTTTTTGTTAAAATGAAAACATATTCATTGTTTTTGGATGTTTTACTAGTATCTGGAATACCAAAAAACATTTCATGTGTCTTACTAAAATACCAAATAATAGAAAAAAGCCCTCTCTGGTTTTATTAAGTCAACTTGAAAATGGCAAACACAGGAAAACATTCTTGGGCTATCAGAAAGGCAACATTTTTATGCCAAAGGAAGGCTGGTTAGTTAAGCCCAGTTAGACAGTGTAATAGCACTCCAGAAAAGGATTTAAAGAATAGTGATATAACTAAATAAAAAAGATAATCAGAAACATTGTATTTTAACACAGTGGCTCTTATGGCTTAAAAAGTCATAAAAATGAGTGAAAACCATTTCTCAGCAGCTATTTTCACAAATTTAGATGCCCCTTTTTAAATTTGGGTTGTGGGGGACCTTTTGAAAAAAGGGAGCTATGTTCTCTATAAAAATATGTTTGCATATGTTGTTCAGTCACTAATTTATGTCTAACTCTTTGCAGTCCCATGAGCTGTTGCACACAGGTTCCTCTGTCCTCCGCTATCTCCTGGAGTTTGTTCAAATTTATGTTCATGGAGTCGGTGATTCTCTAACTAATCTCATCCTCTGCATATAGTATTGTAATTTTTGCATAGTTCAGTGAATTCATGGACTTCCCTAAAGCACATCTGTGAGTCCTGTAGGGATCCTTATATTTGATATCCAAATTCTGCCATAATTTATTTCCTGCAGACTTAAATTATTTTTAGAAGATTTTGTGCTCTTACCAAAGTCCTTAAGCTAAAAGACTAAATCTTACTAAGCATAATCTCAAGAAAGTCTGTTAGTTTATGATAGTTAACTTGTGAGTTTTTCTTTTTCAGTAAGTGTTAGACGTTACGATAAAACCTACTAAAATAGCATCAAGTGAAACAAAAATATTAATGCAGAATTCATTTTATTTTGACAAGATAGTTTAATGGCCATGCTTTGGAGAAAGTGGTAAAATGTGTATCTAGCCAGTGTGAATGCACATAGCACAGCTGTGGTGCTGGAAAACAAGACTTTCTACATCTGGGTTTATATGCATGTATTTATTGAACATCTGCAATCTGTAAGTCAATGAATCAAGCATAAGAGAAAACAATACATCAATAGATTGATGTACCTCAACTTATTTTGAATTCACATCTCTGGTTTTAGATGTCTTAAGGTGAGAACTGCATTAGGCCCTTTGCTAGAGTTGGAAGGAAAATATTTCTGCATTGTCTTAAGTGCACTAAATCCTTTCAGCTTTATTTTTCCTAGTTTGAACCTTTCCTATAGTCTTTCAGTAAAGTGTTGAGTGATATTTACTATGAGTTATGTGCCCCACAATATTAAACCAGAAACTCCAGAATTCCTTGTGTATAGTCATAAAATGTTACTGGAATCCCTGGCCTTATCTCATTTACCTTTTCAGTGAGTCACTTAGGGTTCTTTGGTTGCCAGTTTTCATCTTAAGTTTTAAAACAGCTTAAATCTCAAGTATGAGATTAGTTATATTTGAGTTAATGAGTTTAAGGATTGAAGGAATTTCTTGCTGCTCACTGCCAACTGTGTTATCTGGTGGGATGTTTTCTGAACAAAGCATCATAACCACTTAAAGCCTTTTTGCTTGAAGCATTTCATAAACTTGAATTAATCTTTTCTATTTCTGATCTTTTACTATGCTAATTGTTCTCAAGTTGTTAAAGGTACTTTTGTCTCCCTAAGTAGTTCCTGGAATTGGTAATTCTTCCTTATTTCACAATCATTCCCACCTGTGCCTTGCACAATATAAACAATAGCTAAATTAGGTTATTTATTACATGGCAGTTACTTTTCCGTTCATATTGTGTGTTTTAATTCATTTAATCCTGTGGACAGCTATCACTTATTGGAAAATAGGGTTGAGTAATTTCCCGAGCTTTCAGAGCTGATGGTAGAGTCTATGGTTAAACCCAAATTTTAGAGGTTGAGAGCCAGTGTGTGGTAACTACTATACATAGTGCCTTGTATCTACAGTAGGTTGTGGGTTTTGGGTTTTTGGCTGCATTGAGAGGCATGTGGGATCTTATTAATAGTTCCCAACCAGGGGTCAAACCCCTGCTCATTGCATTGGTAGCATGGGGTCTTAACCACTGGACCACCAGCAAAGTCCCTAAAGTAGTTTTTGGTGAATCTTTTTTGACTGTCATTTGCTGTCACATTTTCAAAGCAAACATGCCTTTGAATTGTTTACCTGGATTAGGCGGGAGTGTTAATGCATACTGTTTCCTCTTGTAATCATATTATACCTCTTAAGTTGCTTGTTCAGTGGTATAAAACCACTTGGAAGAAGGAATGTTAATGTATGACAGTGTTACTTATGAAAAAGGATAAGTTGGATAATTGGGAAATTAAAATTTTAAAAATGTAAGGATTTATATCAGATTTCTTGAACTCCCTGTGTCACAAGCTCTAGTGCTCTTTCCTTCCTGTTTGTGACATCATTGTGTTTTCGGCCTTAGAAATAGTCTTTGTTTCATACGTGCAGTTTCTAGCCGTGTCTGGATGTAGCATATGTGTAGTATTGTTTTCTGTTTTCAGTTCAGTTCAGTTGCTCAGTCATGTCCAACTCTTTGCGAC